TGGGAAGAAAGAGGTGCAGTGACACTCAGTCACTGTCCCGGACGCCGACATTGGCTCCTGCGCACTTCTCCAGCTCCTTCGAGGATGGCACTTGCTGACCCTAGATCCGAGTCACGCCAGGAGAGGCTGGACCCTGAGATCTAGGCCAGGGAGGGCCCGGAGGGCTGTCCCTGCCCAGGAGGCATGAGCCCTGCCACCAGCTTACTTTCCTACACCAGGCCCACTCCACACGCCCAGTCAAGTGATGTCCAACCCCCACAAGATTCAACCCAGCGACCTGGCCCCACCTCTTCTCAGCTCCCTGTTCCCCAGAGCAGCCTTGTGACATGTCCTTACTAGCGCTCCCGCTGCCCCTCCCCCGGATGCCCCTCCCCAGGGCGCCCTCCGGCCTGGCCAACTCCTATCATCCCTGAAGACCCAGGTGGGGCCATTGATTTCCCAAAGGCTCCCCCAACTCGAACCGCCCCTTCCCATCTCACAGACCCCTGCCCCCGTGTCTGACTCCCTTCCACACCACGGTTCTCAACCACGAGGGAACCACCAGGGAGGTGGTGAAAACAGGCCGCAGGGTTCGCTTAAATGCAGATTCTGATCCGGTGGGTCAGGTGAGGCCCGAGAACTTGCACTTCTACCGAGTCACCAACTGAGGACACTGGTCTGGGCACCCTGTTTGAGAACAGCACCTCTCGCCCCTCCTCCCCGCAAGGCAAGGACCAAGGACCATAGCTTTTCATCTTTGTATCTCAGCCTTCTGAACAGTAGGTGGCCTGCAGAATAATGCCCTCAGTCAATATTCTGAGACCTGAATGAGGGAGACTGAGTCAATACCATCGGCCACAGACACTGGGCAGATCCAGGCCTCAGGCTGGCTTCCAGGGGGCGGTAAGACGCCCACGTGCGTGTGTTTGGTTTGGTCTGTTTTTTCATTTTAAACCATCAGTTGTCTACATTTAAAAAACCAAGAGATTTAAAATACAAATGCAGCGAGTCGGCTCCTCTCAACACCTGGAGGACGGTCCTGCCCACAGGCAGCATCGGGACACCCCCTTATGGGTGGTTCCGCCTCCTGCGTGTTCAGGGGGCAGCTCTTTGCTGACTGCGCTGGGCTTTCTGTGCCCTTGGCCTGGTCTGGAAGGCAAGTGAAAGCAGGACCTCTCGCAGAATGAACACAAAAGAATGAAACGAAAACTCAACAGAGACCAGACCTACACAAAGGGGCGTGGCCGGGCGCCCTAAGCCCTTCCGACCCCAGCCAGACTGCCCAGACCTGCCCCGCACACTGCGTGTGCTCGCCAGCTTCCGGACCGCGGAGGGCCTACCCGCCACAGGGCTGCTTGTCTTCTACTTGAAAAACACACAGCGAGCTTTCACAGGGAGGCGGACGTCCCACTGACCAGCACTGACAGCTGGAACCGGGCAAGAGCTCATGGCCACGGTCATGCAGATTGAAGGGAAGTACCCCTGTCACAGTTGGGCGAGCACTCAGACCCAGGTGTGTTACTGGTCTTGTTGATGTGGAATTACATGTCTAGGTCACGTGTGCACACGGGCACAGAGCAGTGAGTGGAAAGGTGTGCACCAGATACAGTGACAGCTGTATCTTCTAGGTGCCAGCATTTGGGGATATTTTTAGCCTCTTTTCTACTTTGCTACATAAACTCAATCATTTATGATAAGCATGTACCATGTTAATAATCAGAAAAATGTTTTTATTAAAGGAACAGAAAACAATTGACTATTATTTTACATACTGGCAGCCCAGTGCACGGATTCATGCACCGGTGGGGTCCCTCAGCCTGACCTATGCCCTCGCAACCCGGGACCCCTCGGGGGATGTCAGATAGCCGGTTTTGGCCCAATCCCCACAGACCCGATCCAGACAGAAGGGAGCCCAATCCTGTGCATTGAACACCTGTCCCCTGGTGGTCAGTGCACATCATAGCGACCGGTTGACCGGTTGTTCGGTCATTTATGCTTTTATATATAGATAATTTTGGATACTATATATGCTTATTTGTTTGTTTATATAAAATGTGTCTTGGATCTCGGAATCCAGGGACTTCCATCTCTAGTCCAAGAGGACACCCTGTAAACTCAAGAAATGAACCTCCCAGCCCCTCTCCATCCGTCCCACACACTATAGGTCAGCAGTTTGCAGTCCTGGCCGCACATCAGAATCACCTAGAAAACTTAAAAAGTCCTGGTGCCCAGGCCACACCCCAGAACAAGCAAGCAGGGCCTGGGGGGATTAGAGGGGTGGTACCCAGGCATCAGCACTTGTTCATCTCCTGGGTGGTTCCAAAGAGCAGCCAAGGTTCAGAAGCACTAATAACTGGGGTGACCTCCTACATCTTCATCAAAGCAATGGCTGGAAGGAGGTGAGGTTCAGGCTCCTTCCAAAATAATTACCCTGTTCAGTTCTTGTCAGGCTGCTCTTGTTTCGTCATTAAAATCCTCAACAGAGACATGACTCTACGAGAAATTCAGCTGTTGAGACTTCAAACATGACCGCGGGGTCCATTCGTGGGCCGTCCCGGGCCCTGTGAAGGGTTCTTCATGAGAAGGTTCGCCTCCCTCACCTCCACCTCCAGTGAGTGTGCCGAGTGCCACCTGGAGCCCGGTGCTGGGCTGGACTCTGCCAGGGCAGCCACAACAGGCTTCACTCGCCCGACACCCAGGGAGTCAGGCAGGTGGCAGTGCCTCTCAGGGGGTTTACTCAGGTGTGATCAGCTATGGGACTGACTCTTAGGTGATGATGATGGTGGTGATGATGATGGTGGTGATGGTGATGATGGTGATGGTGATGATGGTGATGGTGGTGATGATGATGGTGGTGGTGATGATGATGATGATGATGATGATGGTGGTGATGGTGATGGTGATGATGATGGTGGTGATGATGGTGATGATGATGATGGTGGTGATGGTGATGATAATGATGATGGTGATGATGGTGATGGTGGTGATGATGATGATGGTAATGATGATGGTGATGATGATGATGGTGGTGATGATGGTGATGATGGTGATGGTGGTGATGATGATGATGGTAATGATGGTGATGATGGTGATGGTGGTGATGGTGATGATAATGATGATGGTGGTGATGGTGATGGTGATGATGGTGATGGTGACGATGAATCCTTGGTCCTGTCTCTGACCCACTAAATCAGAAACCCTGCAAGTGGGGACAGGATCCTAGGTTTTAATCAATGCCTCGGAAGCTACATTCCGATCTGAGACGAGCGTGCTAGGTGAAGTTTTCCCCTGCTGTGTGTGTTGTGTGTTGTATGTTCCCTACCCCACTCGCCCCCCCAAAATGGCCAGAAACAAATCTTGAAATAAGGGCTTGTCATGGAGATGAGTGGGAGGGAGGCGGGGGAGACCGGAAGTTAACTCGAAGCAACGGGCATCTGACCCCAGGCACAGAGGCGGCTCTGATGGCCCGGCTACGCCACAAACACTGCAGGCCATCAACAGGGCAGGGGAGGGCGGGCCCACCAGCTGTGGTGGGGCCTGAGCAGGTGCGCACTGCTTTGTACCCAAAACACGGCCACCCTTGTTTTGAAAGCC